AATACAGATACATAGTCAATATTCGTAACATCAGATACAAAAATGATACATTCTTACAAATAGGATAATCATATTCAGCAAATCACAACTTTTCAGATGACATCTTATATGACCCATTTTGTACAAAATGCATCATAATTATTCCATTATAATAATATCCCAAGGTGGATATGGGGAGTCGTGTCACACCGATGAGGCTCCAGAGTGACTCCTCAAGACAAGGACCAAGGGTGGTGACAATTAGCCATGCTGGGGTGATGTGTGCAGAGCAGGTGATGGGTTTGAGGCCAGTCGTAACCAGCTGATGCTGATTAAGCCTGACCAACATTGTTCTTTTGCCTAATCGAGGGCATGGCCCAACAATTTCTCCCAGTGTCCCTGCAATATTGCATCCCACCTGGAGAGAAAGAGGGCTGTGTCATCTGATAGTAGCAGAGCGGGAAATCACAGTTAAGGTTATGGGGTGAGGATGGTGTGTATCTTAACTCTGAATGAAATGCTGTACAAGGATTTAAGAATATACTCTTGTTTTGGAAAAGGACAAGGCTCTACTCAGCTGTAACTGTGTCAACAGAGGTTTTGGGCAATGATTTCCAGTGCTAAGGGCCTGATCCAAAACTTGTTGACATTAGGAGGAGAATTCCTTTTGACTTCAGTAGGACTTGGCCTTTAGTGAAGTAACTCTTTAGCCCTCAGAAGCAGAGTAAATGACAACAGCAGCCTGGGAACTTGACTTTGGAGGGTTTTTTCCCTACCCTTAGACTAGATTTGTGAAAAGGAATAATGGACCAGCTACTTGAGATTACTTTTACTGAATCCTTAGTTTTTGGTCTGATCTTTTTATCTTGTAGTTACTGATTTATGGCTGAAGTAATGTTAAGGAGAGATCTGTGGAAGCCAGTGTAGGGACTGAGAGCAAATTCTCCCATGGCATTAACCCCCCTCCCCCCAAATCTAAAGTATTCCTAACTAGAGACTGATCTATTTTGGTGAGGAAAGTGTTGCAATGAACTTTGCTGTAATTCTTTTTAGTGGAGAAAGGGGAGACTCTTTATTCCATTTGAGGTCAGATTGAGGTTTGATTTCAATTCTGTTTTAAAAATCCAGCAGTCCTTGTATTGTACAAGGGCTCTCACTGTCCAGGGCATTTGTGGGGCTTTACACTGCTTGTTAAACACGGGACGCAATGATTTCTGAAGTCTGCTATTACACAGCTCATAGTTTGCACCAGGCAAAGGCATGTCACATGTCCACTGTGCGTTTACAACGCTAAGAGTTGTTCAAATGCTGGGCCTGACTGTGCTCTCATTTACCCCAGGGCTATGCCTCTGAATTTAATCTTCCCATTTCATTAACATCAGCGCCAGGCACACAATGTGTCGTTTGGCTAATATGGAAGTTTTGGCCAGGTAACACCTGATTGGTTGTTTGGCTCACTCAGGCTCTGTGCTCGGGGTGACGGGGGCAGAGGTAGCTTTCCACCCACAGTGTGGCCTCCAGGGTACTGTTCTGAGTCTCCTGTTGGCTGTGTCTCCTGCAATGAGGGCTATGGGAGTGGCTAGGTGGGTGGCGACAAAGCCTTAGCCCCCCCAGGGATTCCCCATGTTGGTTTCACCATGCCAGAGCTCATGGGAGATGCCAGCTCTTTCTGGTTCTCAGGTCTTTGCAAAAGGGTTTGCCCCAGACTCAACATGGTGGAATTCAACACGTGCTGTGGGAAAGCATTGAAACCCTGCCCCACAGTGGCCCCTCGGGCCCTCACCTGTGGGACGATACTGGAGCGGCACAGCAGAATGTCGTTCCGGTTTCGGGGTGGGATGGCAGGAGGGGAGAAGAAGGAACATGGTTTGTGGCTGGTGTGGGCTGGTTTCCATAGGGAAGCAAACTGCAAAGTACAGGATTTACTTTTAAGAGTAGTATGCACCAGGGTCCTGTTTTCTTTGTTCAGTCTAGTCTAAGCTTTATTCCGCGGTATGAAAAAGCTGTTATCTTCAGGACTGAGCGTGAATGAGCAGTGACAGGACTTCCTCGGTGCATTGTTCTAGTTCACTAGTCTGAGGACCTGAGTGCAAATTTTGGTTCAGCTGACAAGTGAAAAGGGGGGTGTGGCCACATCCTATGCTTCCTTTTGATATCGTGCAAAACCACCTGACTGGGGGCCATTTGTTGGGCGTGGGAAACTCTCCTCAACAGAGACCCCAGCCTGGCACAGCAAGGAGCTTGCGGCTCAGGGCCAAGGGGTGCCAGCAGAAACTTTGAATCTGAATGACCAGAAATTGGATTCCCTTCCCCTCTCCAGATGGAGTAGGGCTGCTACTGAGTTTTGGCCTAATGGGTGGGGAAGAGCTCCCAAAACATATGGCTGTCGTGGAGTGTCCCAGTGAAATAGCACTCACAGCAGCAGGTACGTGCTGCAGGTCTGTTCTTGTCTCACAAGAACTGCTCACTTCTCACCCTGACATTTACAAGGGCCATGGTCACTGCCACGCCCTAAGTTATTAACCGCACAGCATGCTGTGTCTGTGGTGCCCCAAGCTGGCACATCATGGCCATTAATAACATCAGGGACTCACTAGCATGTCAGAAATGATGCGCTCCCATCTCTGGCCTCATGAGGGGCAATGGAGCCAAGCTCTGTAGGCCATGCCCCAAGAAGCATGGACAATGGGGTCCTCCTTCGATGCAGGAGGGTGCTCTTCACAGGCAGAGGCAGTGATCTGTTGATACAGCAAGGCAGGAAAGCCCATAAATTGAATGAACAGAATCTAAACTCCCCTGTTATGGGCAGGATGGCTGTGGGAATCCTCTCCACACCCAGGGTCTCTGTGAAACTGTGGCCCAGGGTTACTGCTATCACATCACCACCACAAGGATGGAGAGAGAATGTGATCTTTGTTTCCTTCCTGGTTCCTCACCAGCTACAAATTCACAGCTGGCCCTGACTGATATCTCCCCACACCCACACATGCCCCCGAGCTGTGGGGTTAGTTTGTCACCAGACCCCTTAAGAACAATGCTTTCTGACTTTTTAATTTCTGTGTGTGTGTGTGTGTGTGTGTGTGTGTGTGTGTGTGTGTCTGTCTGTCTGTCTGTCTGTCTGTCTCTCTCTTGGGTTGCCTTCCACTTACAGCATTTCACTGGGAAATGACACTAGGTATTTCTCTCTCACTTTCTTGCGTTCACTTGCTCGGTCTGTTCCCTTCTGCTTTTCTCTCTTTCTCCTCTGTCTGGTCCTCTGCTTTTTGTTCCTTTTTCTTATCCTCCTTTCCTTATATTATCTCCTTCCCTTTGGAGTTACTCATCCTGCCATGACTTGTTTCTAACAGTGGTGCTGGTCTTTCCCATTCCGTTTTGGTGTTTGCGACATGTTCCAGAATTATTCTCTTGTGTTATTTAATGTGTGCTGTGTAGAATGAGCTAGTAACAGTGCAGCAACAAAACCGGTCAAATGTGCTTTACCAAGAGTCTTTCACTGCTCCCGAGTGGGACCCAATCCCACTCATTGCTTGCCAAGAGCAGTCCAGGGATCCTGCTAAAGAGCTGTTTGACTGTGTTGACGCTGAGTGTTGGCGAGCTGTGATGGTGAAATATCTGTGTGGAAATGGTTTTGAACCATGTCTTCTTGAGGATGCTCAAACGGAAACTAGGGGGAGTTCTGTGCAGAGGTCATCTTTGATTGGCTTCTGAATGGGGCTTTCCAAGTAGTCTGGTGGGCTGGGAGGTAGACCCTAAACATGAGTGCTGAGAGCCAGATGGACTCAACAAAGAGACTGGGAGCATAGTGGGATGTCCAATGACCCAGAACAGGTCAGGGATTCTGGGACATGAGCCTAATTTGTTCAAGCCAAAAATTATTTGTTCTGGCCTAAAAATGAGAGGGCAAGAAGAGAGTTCCCATCTCTGCCAGTGCTGAAGGGTCAGGCTGTGATGTCCTGCATGGAAGTCCTGTCTCTAGAGGGAGTGGAGTAGAGGTGATTAGACAGACTGGACCTGGGCCCTGACTTCAGAAATCCATCTCCATTCAGCAAAGCACAGAAACATGCTTCGTATCAGGCACATGCCACATCCCATGGATTTCAAAGCCACTTATGCAGTTCTTCAAGTGGAGCCCATGTTTAAATGCTTTGGGGGCCATGGGCATTAAATCCCTCTGTCACCCGGGCCCCCTTAATGTAGCACAGACATTAAATGAGGGAGCGAAGGAACAAGGAACAAATTCACCCTGGCAATAGGCAGCACCACTGATTTCCCTGGAGTTGCACTTGCTCAGGCCAGTGTAGAACTGGCTCCGCGCCTGTGGCTGTGTCGCGTCTGAGATGACCAGCAGGAAGGAAGTCTCTCTGCCGAGCTCTGCGGGGCACTTTGCGCTCACAGCCTAACGTTGGAAGGAAGAGGTGGGGCTTGGTGTCAGCTGAAAGGTAAAAAATCATGGCGGATGTAAAGTGCCCGAGAGACAACCGCATCCCCCTCTTTCCGTTCTGACCATGCTCGCTAAAACCGTTCTTCCTTCGCACGGAAGAAGGCCTATTTGTTACCCACATTTGACTGGAGAGATGTGGCCCTGGAGCGCTGCACATTTCTTGGGGCTAGCAGCAGGACTCCAGCACCTGGTGTTGATACAGCTATTCCCTTGTCTCCCTCGCCTCTAGCTTTCTGTCCTTCCCTTGCTCTCCCGCCACCTCTCTTGTGCTCCTCCATTTCCAGTAGGCTGCCCAGGTGCAGGCCACACAGATCATTCCTCCTCAGATCTGTAATAAAAACCATCCTTTGAAGCTTCCTCATTGAAATGTTCCAATATTTTTCAGAGTAACAGGGGGGCAGGGGAGTGCTTTCCCCCTCCCCCCGCCCCCACTCCTTCTTAGAGTCAGCTCAAACCTGAGAACTCCAGAATGGCTGCCCATCTGTCACAAATGTGGTCATGTGTGTGCATGTTACATGTTTCTGGAGCTTTCACTTCGGGTGTCGGGTGTTTTTACCAGACCTCTGCTGTTCCCTTCCAGGACGTTCTATCAGTTTGAAGCAGCGTGGGACAGCTCCATGCATAACTCCCTGCTGTTGAACCGAGTCACCCCTTACAGAGAGAAAATCTTCATGACCCTGTCTGCTTACATTGAGGCAAGAACTTTCCCATGTTTTTAAGCTGCCCATCAGCACACAGAGTAGGCAGTGTAGCCTGAGAGAGCCAGGGTAGAGAGAGGCAGTTCTCAGTGGTGGCAGATGTAGGAAAAACTATTTCCCTAGGAGGGGGGTGAAGCACTCGGATGGGTTCCCTAGGGGGGGATGGAATCTCCATCTCTGGAGGTTTTTATGTCCTAGCTTGACAGAGCCTTGGCTGGGATGATTTAGTTGGGATTGGTCCTGCTTTGAGCAGAGGGTTGGACTTAGTGAACTCCCGAGGTCTTTTCCAACCCTAATCTTCTGTGATTCGGCATCTTTCTCCACCGTGCTGCAGATGGAGAACTGTACCCAGCCAGCTGTGATCACCAAAGATTTCTGCATGGTCTTCTACTCCAGGGATGCCAAACTTCCAGCATCTCGCTCCATCCGCAATCTCTTTGGCAGTGGGAGCCTGCGAGCCTCGGAGAGGTAAAGGAATCTCCTTTTCCTTTTCAAAAGGAGGAAGGAAGATACTGAAGAATAAAGAGCAAGGGTTATGAATGGTGACACATTCTTAGCTGTCCATAGTGCTGATCATGCTGAGCTAGGCACTTTGGGCCAAATCCTCAAAGATATGTTGTCACATAAAAAGTTATATATATGTAGGGCCTGTAAATCAACAGGCCCGGGATGGAAGTTTCCATCCTAGAAGTACACCGCACTGGAGACGGCAAGTGCAAAGAGTAGCTGGACTTTATCAGCTTTAACCCATGCCTTGAGCTGGGAAACTACTAAGTGGTAAACAAGTTTGACCTCGGTCTCAGCTCATAAGAGTGATAAGAATGGCGTTAAGCCAGTATGCACACACCCATAAACAACTGTAGTATAACTAGTGTAGGGAGTCCTGTGCCTAGTGAGTCTCACCAGGGACTTAGACCTCAGAGGGTGCCCTGGATTCCCCTACCTGGAGTCACGTCCACTGAGGCCTGGTGTGAGGTGACCGGAACAGGACTCCCAGCAGACTGAAGGGGCGAAAGCATTTCCAAGTGCCTGTTGCTTGCTTTTATGCGTTGCTCTGCCTGTGCTTATTGACATATTACTTTGGAGAAGCTCTGTACCCATCTGGCAGTATTAAGCCTGTAATAGTACTGCCATAGAGAGATTAATAAAAGCAGCTATCCCTAATCGACTCTGGCTTGAAGCAAAATCATAATCCTGTTTGGCCATGGCCCTGTGAGTTGACATATATAGGTACTCAGCTGTTTTTAAACATTCCACTAGGCTTCTGTCTACATCAAATACCTTTGCAAACCTGGCCCTTACCCCTCTGAAATGAATAAGTTCATTCCACTCCAGGTGCCTTGTGTATTCATGTCATTGATTTCCAGAGCCGCTCTTTGGTAGTCATGCAGAAGGTGTGGTAACCAGAGCTGCCCAGGAAATGGTCATTTTTGCCTGCAAAACAGGCTGATGAGAAAGATTTGTTCATTTTTGTTGAAAGCTTTCCAGTTTTTGTCAAGAAAATGTTTTGATTTAAAATTTGCCAAATACCAAACAAAATGGTTTTTTTTAAAATAAAAACCTGAATCTTCTTGACTAAAACAATTTCTCTTTTGCAAAAACACCTTGAGGAAGGTGGGGCTCAGGACTGGACAGTTGTGATGGCTGTTGTGGAAGGCAGTTATTTGGTTTGTATTTATTAGGGTTGAAAGAGCAACCTGTTCCATCATGCTGTTGCGCTGTGGAATGAGTCAGTTCCAGGTACCCAGAGCATGGGACGGGGGCTCTGTTATGTTTGTGTGAAACTGAGTGGACTAGCCTGTTCTGAGAGTCTGACTTGGTAACATAGCCTTGAACAAGCTGGATTAAGTGCAGTCTTATAATAAGGGTATTCCAGGAAATGCATTCCATGTGGCGCAATCTAGAACTCATGCACCTGGCTCTCCACGGACTTGCACCTTCTGTAGACAGTGAAACCTGTGCAAAGTGGGTGAATGTGAAATGCTACTGCTCTGATTGGGAGGTGCCTTCCACCCTTGCATCGGGACAAGGTGCAAACCCAGGAAGAACCAGGCCCTGTGTTTCCTAGTGCTTGTGCAGAGATGCATGTTCAGGGACATTGCTCTCTGCCAGAAGCAACATGCGGACAGCTCCTGGAATGGGCTATGAGGATCTTTCCCTCCTTTCCTTCTTCCTTTGTCCAGAAAGAAAGGAGGAGAGAAATGAGTGCATTATAACAGCTTCAGAATCCAGCTCCTGTGTCCCATGGAGGATGCTGGCCAGCATGGTTCTCTAGCAGTGGCACAGGATGCTGGGGCTGTTCTCAAGCTGCCAAGGACTCAGAGCCCCTCCCCCCACTCCGCTAGCACAAAGGCAGCACTGATAGGCCATGAAGGGGGCAAGGTCCAGTCCTTTTCAGCTAGAAGAATGGTCCATTGGGCACTGTCCTGGGAGTGAGAGGGAGAGGAATGAAGAGCAGCTGGAGGGTAGACATAGGGCTCCCAGTGGTGTGCCGGGGAACAGAAGAATCTCTTGAGAGTGTTCGTGTGCTACCAACCCGTGTTGCAATGTCCTACAGAGCCAGGAGTGGCCTGGGTCCCAGAGGGGCAGGCCCCCCCCCCTC